TTCTGCTGGCGCTGCCTTGTCCACCAACTTGTCTCCTTACATGTCTCCCCACTTTCTGCTGGCGCTGCCTTGTCCACCAACTTGTCTCCTTACATGTCTCCCCACTTTCATGATGGGGCGACAACCTTATGTCGCACAGAGGGTTATTAAACATTTTTGTTTTTGTTTCTGCATATAGTGAGCTTTATACCTTCAGGGTTTTCACACTTAAACCTCATTGCAAACATCATTCATAGGGGTCTATTTGGTTGGTTGGGTTTTACGCTTTCACCGGCATCACGGAAAAAAAAACCATGGAATGCTTTGCAGGTAAAAACATGCGAACATACACCGCACTGCCTTGCGCTTCCAGCCGAGTGGGAACAGGATCAAACTGTGTCAGTCCTAGTTAAAGTCAACACGCACAAAACGAAACCAACGATGGCCTTACTACCAGGAACAAGGACGCTATTAGGGGCTCTTGGCCTTACTACTAGGAAAAGGACACTACTAGGGCTCCTGGCCATACTACTAGGAGCAAGGACACTACTAGGGGCCCCTGGCCTTACTACTATAGTAACAAAGACGCTGCTTGGGGCTCCTCACAGGACGCTACTAGCCTTACTACTAGGAGCCAGGACGCTACTAGGGGGTCTTGGCCTTACTACTAGGAACAAGGACGCTGCTAGGCCCTTGGCCTTACTACTGGGAACAAGGACGCTACTAGGGGCTCCTGGCCTTACTGCTAGGAAAACAGGACCGTGAAATGAAGCCACCATCGAGGGAGTGAACACTTTGAATGGAACAAACAGTGGTTGGCGCAGCTCCCAATTCTGTTTTCATTCAGCTCGGAGCGGTGTCTGTCAAACCATCAGTCGATGCTGAAGGCATCAGTCGATATCTTCCGGGCGAGGCCGTGCAACAGGGCCCTTCCCGCCACGAGCAGCAAGAATTTCCGCATCTAAATCCAAGGAAGGTGGAACCGGAATTTCCGGATCCTCTTCCTTCAGCTCTTCCTCGCCTCCCTCAGCCGCAGGCTGCTCAACCTCAACGGTCTCATCGGTCTCAACGATCTCTGGCTGCTCACTGGAAGGAGGAGCATTAAAGGTGCCATCAGGACCACCTGCTGTTTCAGCACGACCACAAATGAACGCTGGGACAAAAACATAAGAGCTGGATTGAATTTCGACAAAACAAAACTCAGTCAAGAAGAAGCATGACACGCGCAATGAGGGAAGCACCGGCTGCATTGAGCAGCACAAGTTCAGCCTCCAAAGTCTCCTGACTTGCAAAAAAAATTGTCCATCATTTCAACATCAGCTGTTCAATCTACTCAAAACTCAGTACTACATACAAAAATCTTTAATTCGGGCTGAGGAAATTGAGGAAACGACCACCACATCTTTCACAAATTCATCGGACTTGCCCTCGAGCAGGTAGTCACGGGCAATGACCTCAAATGAAGACGTGGTGAAATGAACAAAGCACAGCAAACTAAGCCAGACTTGTCTAACCAAGGTCAAAGCAGCAATCTCACGGCATTTGTCTTGATCTCGGTACTTGAGGCCACCCACCTGCGACTCAGTAGGTCAAGTAAGTTGGCAAAACACAGGCTCAAGCGATCGGCCTGAAAGATCTGTTTCTCATTGCGCTTGCAAGCGAACTTACCGGTGGCTTTGTATTGGTAAACAGCTGACACCTTCATGGTCTTGCCCTTCTTCTCACCTACAGAAACCAAAATTGGCTCAATAGTAAGATTAAATCTTCAGTTCATCATGTTTAATATCAAAAACAAGCCTGATTCACCAGCGCTCGGACTGGCTGCAGCTGGGCGTTTCATTGGGGAAGAAGCTGGTGGTGTCTTCTTCTCTGGGGTCTTCTTCTCTGCGGTCTTCTTCTCTGGAGTCTTCTTCTCTTTTGCTGCAGCTGGCTTTTTCATAACAGCATCGGAACCTTCTGCACTTGCTTCAGGTTCTACTGGACTGGGACTGGGTTTGGCTTTGGGCTTCACACTAACCTTAGGCTTAGGCTCAGCCTTAGGTTTGCCTTTTGGTTTTCCCTTCGCCTTGGACTCGGGTTTCGGCTTCGGAGTTGGCACGGCGCGTGTCTCGACCTCCTCCTCATCTGACAGCTCGGTAACAGGGGCAAAAACATTCATCTTGCAAGCAGGAATCAGCCAGCGAACCCGAACAGCAATCACGGTCGGAGCAAAAACACCTGCGAATTAAACTGCTGCCAATCACAAAGTAGTTGCGCACAGTGACAGATAGATTGAACTCTGCAGAAAGTAGGCTGGCCATTCAAAAAAATGGCGGAAACGTACAATTCGAAGTGAGAATTGTTTTACCACTTCATGTGAACTGCCAGCGGTAGGTCGTCCCAAATCACGGATCTCTGCCAAAATTCGCGAGCTACAGTGAGAGCTACAGCTACGAAAATGTCACATCTTGGTCCACGTGTTGGGAGGGAGAGTGACTGAACCCGTCAAATAGATCTTCGGCTTGAGGCCAACCACTCTGGGGCTGCCTGAGCCTGTTTGCAAGTCCACCTGAAACAATCACTTCAATGACTCTGAGACGTCAAAGTGAGGGCCGAAACCATATTGTTATTGCTCTGTCCTGAAAATGTTTGAATCCGAGCAGCTTCCCAAACCACTTGAAGCGCAGACTCAGCACCACGGGGCAGCTTGTCCATGTGTCCACAGAATCCGGCTCCAATCATTGCATGCCTGATGTTGCAGCAGAAGAAAAACATCAGTCAGACACCTTTTGAGATAGTTCACATCGAGCACACATCTATATGCTCGCGTTCATTCAATAATGCTATGGGTGAAGAAAACTATATCTGATATAGTAATGCCCTGGCCTGACAGTGTCATTTGAGCTTAACATGTTCGGCTTGAAGACATTGCACATACCGTTCCGTGCAGGACTCATGCCATACCTGTACGGTACTGGAACGGCTTCCGCTGAGTCCTCCTCCTAGCAAACGCTGGCATTTCGACCTGCAAAAAAACAAAATGGATTCCTTGACATTTTTTCATGTTAAGACTGCACCGCTGACGGTTCGGTCCAAGGGATAGGTCTTCTGAATCAGCTGGTGGTTGGAAAAATCAATCTCCGCCACTCCGTGCACTGTCATGCAGTGGTGCAAAAAGTCTGCAATTGCATAGAGCTTCCTCTCGTAGGACACCAAGCAAAGGTCGGAGGAAAATCGAAAGCACACGCCATCAAGTTCTGCTTCGCCCAGACCTGCCGACTACAACAAACCCCAACTCCCAACTTCCAAGAAAAGTTTGCGTGCAAAATTGAAAATTGGAGAACTGTTCAACATTGGAGAGGCCTGCAATAATCTTTTGCTCAAATGTTCCAGTGTTGAAACCGCAAATTTCCATCGCAGTGAGGGACATCTCTTGGTCCGTCTCGTTGCCAAGGTGAATCGCAAAGTTGGAGTCGATCACCACAGCTGGCTTGCCCCGAGCAGCAGGGCAGTACCACTTCCTTCAAGGTCGTTATCATTATTTTGACAAGGTCATACCAACAATTCAAATTAAATTAATGAAGAAACAGCACCTGTCCTATGAAAACAATACCATACCATGAATGGTTTAACAGCTCCAGTCCTCTCAACCCCGAAAGCGCTTGCAGCTGTGTGCGCGGCTTGGATCACACGGGATGTGTCCAGAGGGCGCCCGCCGCCGTCAATGGAATAGTCGGGACGACCCGAGGCCCGCACCGTCTGAGGCCGAGTTGACGTTGGCCTATTGTCTCCGCCTCCTGCTTGAGGGAACTCTTGCAAAAGCTCCTTCTTCATGGCGTGGATCTCACTGTGAGGGCCCGTTCCCTCACCAAACTTCGTGAGAAGAGAGTCAGGAAAGCGCGGGGCACTGTTTACCCAACTCAAGAGCTCAAGCGTCGGCTCTGCAATCGATTCAGAAGGGCGCTGCTTCCCAGGGGCCATGTCTGACGAGTCCCAGTACTTGTAGACTTTGTCCTCAATCATTGCGGCGGTGTCCCTCTGCTCTTCACGGAGGAAACCCAGGTAGTAGAGCGGTGGCCGCCGATTGGACTCGTCAAGGTGTCGTGCCAAAATCGCTTGTCCAAATTCACAGTACCTCCCAAGCAAAAGGCTGAATGTCCGATAGAAAACATGGGAGCCTGGCGTTTTGAAAGTGCAAAATATGTTTCATCAGCCCACCGATTCGGCAAGCAGTCCACGAAAATCACAATGTCTCCATCTTGGCATTCAATCCCTCGAAGGTAGGAAGAGATGATCTCACTGTGAGCAGGGATCCCTTTCCTTGGCCGTTCATTCGAACCTAATGAAAGAAGATCACAAAGATTACAGAGTTGGTTGTTGATGTTTCTGCAATTTTGGTGGCTTCAGGTGCATTAATTAACACTTTCATTTACTGCAATAGACCTTGGCTGGATCAACGGTATTAGATATCAAGCTCAACGAGCATTCAATCATTTAATGATTTACTGCAATAGACCTTGGCTGGATCAGAATCAACGATATGATGGCGAGCTGCCAGCAATAACAGGATGTTTCTTTCGCCTGGTTAAGCAGTAAACTTCAAGTTGACTGTGTACAATACCAGGCGAAAGGCCATTTCACTTGGTGTGGGCATAAAAAAACGACTCTGTCAGGCATTGCGCTGAGGCGCTGTTCCGTTCTGCTGGCTGCTCCGAATCGATTATCAGGATCAAACCCAACCATGTCTGAGACGCGCATAAGAGGGCATGGTCCAATGACACCCTTGGTGGCTGCTGCACAAGAGCTCCAAGCATTCTGCTCACGGTCCAAGGCAGTGACAAAGAGACACTGATGAAGGACGCTTCTGCGATCGTTGGCATGACTTCCACTCTTGTCGAACGACAGCGCGACGTGTTGTGTCACGTCCATGCGTGACTTTTTCAGGGAGTCCTCAAGCGCACGTTTATGCTTTATCCACGCCTCCGTTGTAGTTTGCTTCTGCATGACAGGTACTTGGCAGTGACCTACGTGCAAAGGTGCCATGGCCAGGATCTGTGCAAAACTGCTCAAGCAGTTCTGAACGTAGGAGGAGTTGCTTGGCCAAACGCATAGGTCTAGACTGCAAAGCACTAGCCTTGAATGACTCAACAAGAATTGATGAGGATTCTGACAAACAATGCGAAAATTGACAGTAGCCAGTCCAGGGTCTAAGACTGACAAGGAACACTCTGCCTGTCGATTCTTTGGCAGCCCACTTTGAAATGAAGCTGGCTGTCTCAGCAAAGGATTGGCCCGCTGACTCTGTGGCCTTTGGGAAAACAAATTTGCACTTCCAGTCCATAAAGTCTTTCGTGAAGTCCTGTCCCTTCCTCGATGCGTGACTTCAGCCCAGCTTTAAACCACCCCACAACAGTTCACCAACAAAACCTAATCAAACTTTAAAATGATCCTTCATTAAATAGGGCTCTTCTGTCGATCTGCTAGGTACTTCTTGTCCAGGGCTGCATCCTTCGCTATCTGAGCCTGGTTGGGCACACGGCATCGCAAGGTCGCCATGTCTTTGTTGAACTGATGCCGAATCTGCTCAACTGTTGCCGAGTTGATCTTGTCTTGGATCTCTCTCTCGGTTTGCTGAGCTTCGCGAAGTTTCCGCTGTTCTACTGCAGTGATCATGTTCCTGGAACAAGCGGGGCGGGAATGGCACCTTAAACTTTCTCAAACAAAACAATATGACATGAAAACAGCTCAACGTCAAACAATCTTCAAAGCCGCTCATGTCCTGACGAAGGGCACTTGATCCAAAGACACAGGCGGCACTGCTCCCTCAAGGAAAGTCAGAATGTCACCGTCCAAAATTCCAAGCTTGAACTGGTTCCAAAGGTTTGGCAAAGCCTCCTGGTAATCCTTCTGTGGAACGGACTCACGCAGCTGCTGGATAATGGCGAGGAAGCCGCCACTCGCAGCATGGATGCTCCATGCATCTCGGTACATCCAGCTTTTCTTTGTGCTCGCACGGTCCCAATCGCCCTCAAGCCGGTCTAGAAAGCACTCAACCTCAAACGGCAGGAAAATAGCAACCGATTTTCGCAACAGGGTGCACAAAAAGAAGCTTTTGCTTTCATGTCCTCTCGGATTATGATGGAATTATTGCACCCGAAACCCATTAATACAATAACGGAGGGCCTGAGGATTCAAAAACAATATATATATATATATATATAGCGAAGAAACCAGCGCATTGTCGCTGAGGTTTGTGAGCTCAGCTTGCCATGGGATCAAAGCGCCCGTCTTCCCAGAGCTCCATCCCTCATTGAACATTTCAGCCGCAATCACATCGTGAGAAAGCCATTGGCGCATACCTCGCTTCCTTACGCCAGCTCGTAGCTTCTCAACCATGGCTTTCCCAATCCTCGTTTGTAAATATGCGACTGCTTTCGCTTCCTTGTCCCCGATGTGGAAGGCTCGCGCAATCGATGTTGAACTGTGCCACTCCTGAGGGCACAGCTGATCAGTAGCGGATTGAAAGATTTAGCAGAGCATTAGACAGAGCAACCCTCAAGTCGAAAACTAAATCCGAAAAGCTTTTTGATTTGTTCACAGCGACTTCAAAATCTTGGCTTTCCCCGCTCTTCTGAAGCACCTCTAGCTGACGAATGAAGTTCATTGCGTTCGGTGGGCGTCGCGTCTGTGTGGATGACATTGTGATGCCTCGCAATATTCGAGAACACTATCGCTACCACTACACAACACAACCTGTCACATTGACATCTGAGCTAGCCTTAGCTGTATCCCTAGAGCAGCACCGCTCACTTCACCAAAAAATAACCTGCCTCGAGATGCCCACACTGCTTCTTTTGGAGTGCTATAGGCAGAAACGGCACCATGAACAACTCGCAACGAGGCCTGCCGACGGCAACATAGAATTGGAACCGTTCCAATCTGTCTGACGGCCTACTCGACAAAAGGAATTCAAATAAGTTGGCTTGAACGGCATTTGTAAGTTGTAAGTTGTAAGTATATAATTCAACCATTGCGATGGCGATACTTCAAACCACACAAACTTGCCACGAAGGAAACTGAAACTGTCATGAAACCCAAGCTAAACTGCTTGGAATGGATCACATGAACTAGATTCAATCCACGAACATTGCCTTGAAGGAATCTGTGAGTTCTGACAGCTCAATGCCCAAAGATTTGACACCCTCGCATATGATTAGAGCAGCAAGTCCACGACGCCACCCTTTGATGAACCCAATGGAGAATGGGCTCAGGATACCTAGGACTCATAAACGAAACCTTTCGGTGTTTGAGAATGTTTGGAACATGCAACTTTGTTCATGATCCAGTCATATATTTGCGCATCTTGAGGGCTGAACCCTCCACTAGTGGAGGAAGCTCTTTGTAGGGGCCTTCGAGCCAAGCTTTAGAAGGAACCGTCACGTTCAGTTTCTCGGCGCCCGCATTGGCGTCGGTGCGAAACCTAGAAAAAGAGCTGGGGCGCCGTCAGTGTACGTGAGATAATGACATGAACATGCAAGCTCTCAGCACACTGCATGTATGGCAAACACGGTCAACCTAAGTCAATCTAAGCAACCCCTGCGTCAGCACAAGTTCGATGAGTGTGCACATGTCGAAAGGGTCTGACATACCTGGCAATCCGAAGTCGGACCTGAAAGAGAGTTGCCACAAGCGAAGGTACTTGGCCCCAGCGGTCATGTCCACACTGTATTCGATCCTGGCGGCCATCAAACATTCCACTTCTTTCCAAAAAGTAGGTGTTCTGTTGCAACTTCAGGTACTAACCGCCTGCAATGACCTGGGATCCACACGCGCCTCGACGAGGGTGGGAAGGAGTCATTGATCCACTCCGCGAAGGCCATGAGTTCCTCCTGGCACAGTTGAAATGAAACTTTGGCATCTTATCACGCCAATCTTGCCACAAAGGATTGCGGTTGAAATTGCATTGAACTTCAATCAAAACGATTGACCCACTTGACTTGCAATTTTCCGCTCAGACTCGACCATTGCCCGACAAGTCCCCCGTTTGAAACTAATGGTTCAGAGTCCAGAGTTGCAAATTTCCACTTTGCTTGGCCAGGCCAGTCTGAGCAGAAATGTGGAAGACTTGACCCTAGCCTGCTTCTTGTATTTTTGCATGAGATACCTGTCAGGGCCACCCTGCGGCACGACGATTGTCAGGAACCTGGGCCAAAGAAGGCCAAGAGATACTTTCAATCGGAACTTTGGTCTTCAGTCTATAATATCTCTTTCAAGCAAAAAGCCAGTCGCAAATCTTTCGGGCGTGGGCGAACTTGGGGTCATCAGCAACGTCTGCTTTCTGCTGGCCCTTAGGCTTCTTGCCTGCGCGGCCACCTGCAGACCCTGACGAGACCCGCTTCCCCATATCGCGGACCCTGGAGAATCTATGAGCGCAAAGTGCAGCACATCACGACAGATTCACAGCAGCAGTGTAATACTTAGTTTGTGAACTGAAGGCTCAAAAAGGAAGAGGCAAACAGCTAAAGCAATGACATTCTATTTTCTCAAGTGCCCTGCCATTGTCTGAGTCCTTGCAGCATCCTGCCAAGCCGCTAGATTAAAAAAATGCATCCGACCCAAATTGCTTCTGACACAGGTGTCATAAACTTCACTCCTAGATTTCAAAGATTCAAAGGGCGCACTTTTCATACCCGCCATGATCACCCTATATAGTCGCGCAGCGCAGCGTTCAAGTTGAAGCCGATGAACCCCACTTGGGTGAACCCCACTTGGCGGTCGCCAAGTTCAAGGCCTTCCCCAACTGCACCACTTTAGCTTCCAAGTCCTCAACACGCTTCAGGATCGCTTTCAAATCAAGCTCTTCGGCTAAAATGCCCTGGCTTTGCGCTGGAACTTTGGTTTCCTGAAGCTTTGCCGGATCCATCAACTCCGCGTCCACAGTGTCCCACACATCAAGCTCCGCAGTGTCCCACACAGCAAACTCTTCAGCCACAGTGCCCTGGCTTTGAGCTGGAACTTTGGTTCCCCGAAGCTCTGCATGATCGATCATGCATTCACAGTAGTGGAGGAACATGCGGCGCTGCTGCTTTTTTGACAACATGGACTCGTGATCCAGAAACCACTGCACATAGGCTGGACGATTCAGCCAAACAGTCTCGAAGGTTTTAGTTGCATGGGTTTTGCCAAAACCCAACTTGGTCTCTGCAAGCTGCTGAAGGCTAAGGTGACAAAAATCCCAGTCGTGAACAATGTCTTTGGGCTCACCTGCGCGCAAAGCCTTCAGCCTTTGGCTCAGGGTGGGTGTAGTAGACATGCGGCGTCAGAACAGAAGTCTCTCTCTCTCTGTGGAGGAACGAATCTAAGACAATAAAACTACTTTGAGCCCACCTTCAGCTCTTGGTCGCACAATAAAACAATATTGAAATGACCATCAAAGGAAAGTCTGCTTCAGGACTTACTTCCATCATGAGGAATATCAATGGTGTCAGTGTCACCTGAAAATAAATGGCCAGCCAGCCATCCATTCCACATAGTATTCCTGCGCAGCAAGCTTGACTCGTGAAGCATTTGATTCATCGTCTGAGTGTTCAAAAAAGAACGTTCTAGTTCTGCTAGCCCTCGCCAAACGCTGAAAGAATATGAAAGAATGGAACATTGAACTTGCCAAAGGCCTCCTTTTTCGAGACTTGGTGGGGCCCGTATTGAACCCCAAAGAAACAAATTGAACTGCTGAATTCTGAGAGTCAGACCTCCTGGTTGCATCTCGTGATGATGGCTGACTGTGAAGACGCACCTACAGCAACGCGAGCATTTTGTGAAAGCAAAACCCGCTTGGGTCAGCCAAAGGTCAATTTGTGTGACTGATCCGACCTCTGATCAGTCACACGCACGAAGGTTTTGGTTTCCAAACATAGCCCAAAAAAACGAACTCAGAAAAACATAAGCCTCTAAATTGCATTGCCGCACCCAAATTTTCAGCCAGTCACCACCTGAATCTTCATCAAAGCCCTGACCAGGTCTGCAACAAATTTATATAATAATCCAACCATCCAACCCCGGCCATGCACAGATCAACTAAAAATCTGAATTTCTTCTCGATTCCTGTCAATATCAAAAACAGCAGCAGGGAATCCGTCACACAATCAGCTTCCCACAAACCCTTCAAAGTGTGACCGATCCGACCTCGGATCCGTCACAAACGGTGACCTTGACCAGGAGCAATGTATCCCCAAAAATGGCACAGTTTCCAACAGGATTCCTCTACATGTCAAAGTGTGACTGATCTGACCTCAGATCCGTCACACAATGCACCCTGCGACAACTGTTCAGAGTGTGACGGATCCGATCTCGGATCCGTCACACAATGCACCCTGCAACATTTTAGGACGGATTTGCACTACTTGTGAACGATGTGACGGATTCGAAGTCAGATCCGACACTCAGAGGTTACATCTGTGTAGAAGTGTGACGGATTTGGGGCTGGAGCTTGTACTTGGCTACTGGAGTGCCTAGCCAGGTGGCGACTCAAATCTACCCACACCACAACCATGTGTGACGGATTTGGGGTTGGATGTGTGACGGATTTGGGCTGGCCTGACTCAAAACTACCAACACCACAACCGTGTGTGACGGATTTGGGGGGGTCCATTGTCCAAACCATGTCAGATTCTGGGGGGGCTGACACACAAACGTCATCACCAAAACCTGCAAAACAAATTAAAAATCCGTAAGCGAACCCCTCCAACTCACCCACCACCCCGCCGGTTTTCTCGGCTTTCGTGACATGTGAAGGTGGCCTGTCAGGAATCAGCCACGTGTGGCACGCCGTTTTGGCGCTCCCTTAGGGAGTGCCTTTGGCTTCGGGTTTGCCTGCCGGAATGCTCTTTGGCAAATCTTGATGGATTCAGCCCAAGGGATGCCTAGAGCCCAGGCTTCTGCAGCTGACTTCAGGGCCAAGCGCTTCCGAGCGGAGGCAACGTAATGCGTCACCTGGTCTCTTGCCTCCTTCGACTCGTTCGAGCCCAACCTCAACACGAGTCTAAATTTAAAAATTGCAACAACAAATTGTTGATATATTACTTGGATGTGTTTTATTCAAAGCGTGCACACAAAACATATTGAGCTTCGATCTTACGTATGGTTGCGCCACTGATACGGTTACAGCCGCTAAGTTTTTACGGTCGTGATTCTGCGTAGTATTTAGTTTTTTGCGCTCCCTTGCAGCCCGGCGGGGCGGGTGCAAGAACCAGCAACGTTGGACTGTAACCTAATGGACGCCGAGTAGCCTCAAAGTGCCAGGGTCAGGTTCAAAGCTTTGGGGCTGGGGCAGCGCTGTGGACAATGCACTAGTCACAGGTGTCATGGCACACCTGGGGCTCCACACACCGCAATTAAAATGAGACCCTTGCCTTGTGGGGCAAACCATGGAAACCCAAATCAATTTCAGTCTGACTGGCGGTCGAGAAACGCTGTTACATCAAGCAACGGCTCCAAAGGCAAGGTTCCCGAGACCCAATCTTTCAAGTACTCTGCCGCTTCAATCATGCCATATTCCCGAATGACTGGATAATACTTGTTGAGCACATCCTTCTTGAAGTCAGCTGGTAGCAGGTTCTTTGGGGCCAAGCCTTGCAGCAGTCATCAAAGCAAGAAATCATTACATCATCATCACCAGCACGATCACCATCATCATCCATGTTCGGAGGCACATGACACCGTCACCAACAATGCACTGGACAAGATTCGAAAAGTAGAGGCCCCTACTAGCTTTCAACTTGGGCGCTGTGATAACTGTCCCAGGCATATCTTTGGTGACTCTCCCCTCCAACTCCCTGACGCCACCTGCCGGAAGCCCCAATGGAAGTCGCACGCGAGCTACTGCACATGGGTAATACACAAGGTTGTACGTGTAACGCGAATCTGCCATGTTGTGCTTGGTCCTCAGAGACAACGTCTAACAGAATCAACGACATGCCTGCAAACCTTCGCACGCAACAACAATGGAACCAGAACCTTTGCATGCTCCCTAGAGTGTGCTCAACCCCTAGCTACAAAACTTAAATAGAGGTGCTGTTAATAGAATTATCATACAAATTACTTTTTAATGCAGAAGTGAAGTTGCCGCAAGATCACATCATTCGCGTGTGGTGCCAGTCTCCAAAACGGATCTGCTGACTCTCGAAGCTCTTCCACTCCTGAGCATTCGAGGAAGCGGAATGAACAAATTGCCAACAAAGTTGTAAGAAGTAACAAAGTTGTAAGAGAACCGCGACAGCTGCGTCAAAGCGTTTGGCGACTTCACTGCGTCAAAAACAACCTCCTCAATTTCCTGGCAAGGGTCCCAAGTTCTCACGCCGGTCCAGCTCGAACACATGCGGGGCGCGTGGCCCGCCTGTCCCCTTCAGAAAGACAGGGACTCCAGCCTGGTAAAACGCTCTCCTCAGAGTATGGCCAAAATGACAAAAACAATTACGTCAAGCGCCATTCAACGTTGCTACCACTGACAACAATTACGCCCAAATCAGTTTAGAAGAACTCTTTTCACCTCAGACTCAGTTGTCATATCAATATGTAATACTAGAGAAAAGCAAAAAAGCCTTGGATTAAGCGCAGTGTCCAATCACGGCATTGATCCATCAGAACGCATTCGCGATCTGGCTCGCGAGGTCTGTCTAGCTTCGAATGAAGCCAAGTGTTGATGATTGATCGGAATGCAATCGGGGAGGAAGCAGTGCGGGCGCTGCGGGCGATGTAGGACGCCAAGCGCCCGAATAGCTGATCGATGTCCTCATGTGAGTGCCCGGAGCGGAGTTGCCGCATCCGGGCACCCATCAACATTCCTGAGCATGTTTCAGCTTCCACTATCAATGGCTTTAAGATGCTTTAAGGCTGTTTGGTTCATCGCTACCCCAGAGACAGTTGCAAGGAAAAGTTTCAAAACAATGGCGACCATGAATCCGTGGGCTACAAGACTGGCAAGGAAGCGAATCATATGGTTGTTCTTAACTTCACGAGAAGTGTTGTCCGATTGCAAGTGAAATGTAACTCTTCTCAGGTTGACCTTCCTAGACAGCGCCTGAAGACAATACGCGACAAGCTCAATGCTTGAGTTGGCGTCTTTGCGTAAGTCTGATGGACTTACAGAGAATATCACACTGTGCCCATGAAGAATCGCGCCCACGATGTGAGCCTTGGGCCGATTCAGTCCTTGCAACTCTTTGGATCGAAACATGTCTGATCTTGGATATTGAAATTTGCACTGGTCTATTGCATCAACAATGCAAAGGATACCCATAGAGCCTTGAAGTCTCGATTGGGCCCGAAGGTCCCAATAGCAAAGGCGATCGCAATATTGACTGTGCAAGTGGTTCGCGTAATGGGTGATCTGGGCTTGCCGTGCTTTGAGGTGTCCAGCGAAACCTTTTATGAGTAGTTTGTGGCGGCAACAAGTTGAACATAAGGCATGACTTGATGTGGGGCGAAATTGCAGAATCATTCCATATTCTTCGTGCCAGATCCGCCAGAATGTCGAGAATGCAATCTTCTTGCCATTGCCATAGATACGACCACTTGGAGAAGACAAAAATTGGTCATAGTAATCTTTGATATGGCCTGGAGGTAGCCACCGCTTCTCATATCCGTTTTCTGGGCGTCTCTCCCTATTCATCGAAAGGCCATGCCGTTTGACTTGAATGCCTCTAGCTTTGGGTTTGGGCATCAATTTCGAGTCAACATTCGGGTCTCCCATGGCCTGTGAATGTGGATCAGGCTCAAGTTGGGGCAACTGCACTGACATGCACCCCTCTGTCAACTCTGCCCCGTCTTCCCACGCGTCATCCCTCACATCCGGCAAAGTTTCAGCTATTGATTCGTAGACTCCTCTAAGGAAAGAAACGACCTGCCCACGGGCACTATCACCATCACGCTGCCCTCGTTTTGGAACACCCTTCTGGAGATAGCGCATGTCGACAGGCGCAACGTGCTCACCCTTTCGGGCAGCTCCAAGAAGACGACCAAACCTGCTGGATCCTTGTTTGGCCACAAGTTGTCCCCAAAGGTTGTCTGGATCACCAAAACCAAAGGAACCGAAATGAACAAAGGCTACAATCAAACTAAAGAGAGAACAAATCTAGGCTTGCCTTCAATTCTAAGGATCCCAGGGAATGAAGTTTTTTCCAAGCAGCCACACAAACTTCTCTGCCTAGAAATTTCCACGTAGCTCTTGGACCGTCCCCAGAATCAGCAATGGCTCGAGAGATGCGGTGCAAAGCCTGAGAATGGGAAAGTGCTGTCTGTGACTTTCAGAAAAATACAATACGATACAAATAAGCCTGGCGCTCCAAGAGAAAGGGTTACAATCAGTCCATCCAGAAAGCCTCTGTGTCCTGATCAAGCTTGTGCATCTCAGACCAAGTCGATCGAAACGACATAAGTTC